GCAACGTAGCGCAATGCAGAGCTTACTTCAAAGGCCCGGCTCAGTGAAAGTCGGATCGGATCGTGAAACTCGTGCATTTCGGTTCGTCCGGGATTCCGGGGATCCGGGGCGGAGGGGGCCGGAGGTTCCGGGGCCCGGATTTCCCGCACCCGAGATCCGAGGAATCTCCGGAGGATGCCTCGGCGCTTCGCAAACCAAAGGCCACGGCTCATGCCACGATGCCGTGTGCGGAGGAAAAACCTTCAGACTCGTATATTCATAGTCGTTCCTACTACATAGTCGTTCCTACTACATAGTCGTTCCTACTACATAGTCGTTCCTACTACATAGTCGTTCCTACTACATAGTCGTTCCTACTACATAGTCGTTCCTACTACATAGTCGTTCAAAGCTACTGGCAGGGCCGGATTAAGGGGATGGCCATATGGGCCGCGGCCCATGGCGCAAAACTATAGGGGGCGGCAAATTTTGCAATTTTTTTTTAAATGTAGGTATGAAAAAATCGAATTTAGAAAAAAAATTACTAACGAGGAAAGGCGACAAAATCTCTCATGTCCTGAGAGTACAGTAATTTCTAATTTTGTCGTCTATCAGTGAGACAAGACTGCGCACCTTCAATTAATCGAGTTAAGAGAGAAACCAAACACGCAATTTGGCCTGGAACGGCGCGACTCGGAGAGAAATGATGACGAGGACTTGAGATGAAAAGGAGAAGCCCTCGGCGCGGCGCGGCGGTCGGCATGTAACACATGGCGCCTACAAGACCACACGAATACTTCACGCATTGCATCAAACACAGTGCGGTCATTGCGGACAGCGTGAAACGGATGGCGCCTACAAGAATGCATGAATACTTCACGTATTGCGCTAAAGACAGTGCGAGTGCGGTCAGCGTGAAACGCTTAGCGCCTACAAGACTGTCGGAATACTTCACGCATTGCGCCAAACACAGTGCAGTCTACGCGGCGCGGCGGTGGAAGTTAACATCGTTAAACTACATTTATGTTTGTTCTTTCATAATTTTTTCGTTCATTTCTTATGAATGGAAGGCCTTGTCCACACAGAGATAAGTTCACGGAACTTAACTTTCGCGCAAAGTCCCGTGAACTTTCGCTAGTAGTGTTGACAGGACTTTCCCAAAAAATGTGTCCAACACAAGTAAACGCGTCTTCTGCATCCTTCCCCCGCTGGCAATTTCCATTAATGGTTTTTATTGATGTTTCAAAACGAGTGAGAAGGGGGCGGCAAAATACAGGTGGCCCATGGGCGGCAAGTAGGTAAATCCTGCCCTGGCTACTGGTCCTACTGGCCCTGGTACTCCATTGTAGATTCTCCTCGAAGGATATTTTACGGCGATAAGGCAATGACGCACGTACTCATCGATACGCGATCCGTTTCCATCTCTCACACTCTCATTTTCGGTGTCCATTTCCATTTGGGCCCTATTGTTCTTTTCCTTCTTCGTCTCCTGTCAGGCTGGATGATATCTTGATTGAATCCTCCAACAGACAACTGCTACACGGCAGGATCATCCTGTTCGTCGGCTACCGTAGCAGAGCGTTTATCGGATTAAGAGCTTACGTCAACGCTGCCGTCCTAAAGAAGAACGCCGTATGAACATTCGAGAGTTGCCAAATTCTCTTAGATAAAACGTTTATTTCTGATGCAAGTCATGAATAGGTATTTTTCCCTGAAATTTTCAGGGACTACAGGTGAAATTGCGATCAAAATTATATGAGAAATTGAGATGTTGCATGTGTGAGGAATTTGCGATTTTACCGTTGATTCTTAAGTAAAAGTTCGCGAGAATCACGCCACCGGTTTTCTCTGAAATCATCTCCCAAGCTCAAAAAAAGCTCTCAAGTTGAGGCCAAAATTGAGGGGATATCCCACGCTATCCTGAGAGTCCACCTCTACATCAAGACAATCTCTCCATGCAAAGATAGGGAGCAAATACATTGACAGGGCTGCCACTTTATTTAGAGACTCTAAAACTGAAAACACGGCATCACCGCTAGTGTATTTGCTCCCTATCTTTGCATGGATAGTTTGTTTTGATACAGAGGTGGACTCTCAGGGTAGGATGGAATATCCCCTTGATTTTGGCCTCAACTTGAGAGCTTTTTTTGAGCTTGGAAGTTGATTTTGGAGAAAACCAGTGACATTATCGTGTCTCTCGCAAACTTTTACATATGATAATCAACAGTCAAATCGCAAATTCCTCACACATGCAACATCTTTATTCTTTTTTCTGTTTTGGATATCACTCATTTTGATCTGAAGATGATTTACTTAAAGTATCGCGAATTGAAAAACGAAATATGTCAGTAAACTAATAGCTCAAAATTCCGTAAACAACCCAGAGTGTGCTCTTTTCCCAATGAAAATATGATAAAGTATGGTGCCCGTATGAAATTTGACTATTTCTCTGGATAGTCCAGAGAGTGGTTCATTTTTTTGTACTTGCCGTCGACGTAAGGATGTGTAAGATGCAAGAGGAACGTTAGATCTTTCCGGTTGCAGTTCAGACGCTCAAAATGGCATAATTTTCACTTCATCTATGAAGTGATTAATAGTCCTTGATCTTGAAGTGCCTTCAAATTTACGTAACGCAATATACGTTTCAGTTGTGCGCCCAGTGTTGTTGTAAAGAGGAGGGGTAGTGGAGTGTGTACCGCATAGCGTAACCGTGTATCGATCGTGAAGGAGCTCTGAAATTATGCGTAACTCGATCTGCGATGTTTCAGATTCACTACTTCAGAAGATGTCTAATCATTGTTTTCCCGGAAAATCTCGTGTGAGTTTTCTTCACTCTTCCAGGAATAAATTCAGAGGATTTCCTGCAAAACGTCTGGTGATGTTGTTATTTTCTTTAAAAAAAGAGATCGGGACTTTCAAATGGACGTATTTATGCCAAACGCAACTATGTCCATTATGACATGAGCCCCGAGACCCATAAGGATATATGCGTAACAGGGCTCACGTCATAATGCGCATGGTTCCGTTTGGCGGAAATACGTTCAAATAATGCGATCGGGGTAAACGTTTTTTATCACTATGCCATCTATATTGTATGTTACTGTTGTTATTGTGTGTCGTATTGTATGTATTGTATTGTTGGAGAAAGCTCATTCGCTCATAATACATTCATAAATTCGGGACCCTGGACTTGAAAGACTAGAATTCTTGCTTTCCCTCAAAACGATGATTTAAACAGGACCCTTCGATGAGATATGAATCGAACATTTTTAATCCTGACATAAATTCTAATTTATTTCTCAAATGTGTCTAGTTTATGTGCCCCTTTGCCGTTTTTACGAGGATTGTTCAATATAGACTGTCGGAAATTTAAAAAAAAATTGCCAAAAAATTGATCAATCGTTTTGAAAAATTCTTTGAGTTTCGACTTTTTGACTCTTCGTTCAATCACCTTAAGGTGCAATACATATTTTCCAGTGCTTACTTTTTTGACTTTTCAAACACGTGTTCAAAACCATCCTTCGCTAGATGTTTGATGCCCGCCTCCATTGGGCACTGCTGTTGCCACTGGACCAATAGGGGCATAATTTCCTTCCTCAAAGTGATTTTTGGTCCGAGCGTACAAATGTAAGTAATACGGGATCATACACTGGAAAAAAATACATTGGATCTAGAGTCGATACTCTTGAAAACATCGACAAGAAAAAATACTCTTGATTCAATCGGATTTTTGCTTAAATCAAGAACCAAGCCTCTTAATTTGAGCGGATTTCCTTTTGATTTAAGCAAAAATCTGATTGAATCAAGAGTACTTTTTCTTGTAAATGTTTTCATGAGTCTGGGCTCTAGATCCAATGTGTATTTTTTTCCAGTGTAGTTGGACTGTAAGACGAATGAAGTACCATTCTAGAATTTTCTTTGGCTAAGAAGCTTCGTGACACTTACTGTAACTTACAGCTGGTACTGAGGGAGAGAACAACAAGCACGAACATTAGGAAAATTAAGAAAATCGTCGTGCATCGTCCTCCTGACGAAAGAAGAAACCTAAATTTCAATGTTGCGGAATTTTTTCTCGCGAATTGCATTTTTACCAAGAGAATCTTTAGGGGTTTTCACTGAATATTTCAATGATTGTTCTTCCAGTCTCACAAAAAAATCATAAAAAATCAAAAAATAAATTACCACTCTATCACTGATCCAGTGGCGAGGTGTGAATGATGCATTATCGAAGTTTCCCCACTTGAAGCTAGGGTAAAAGATCGATTATGAATATGAAGGTGTTTGTTGCCAACGCCCTGTTTATCGATCCTTTTCACTGGGTTTAAATGGTACATCAATCGATGTATTCATAGCACGCCATGCCACTGCTGATCATTTTTTCCATCTCCCTCCTGCTTTGTATCAATAAGCACCGTGCGTAATTGTAAATTATTTCATTTTTAATTTAACTATTCGAGGTTAGGTGAGGATAGACTAGGTTAGGGTAGTTTTGGTTTGGTTAGGTTTGGTAAATACATAGAGTACATGGAGTCGTAATGTAAGTGGGAGAGCTTGCGCCACTTTTAAGCATTTTCCATGTCCCGAATTCCGAGACTCCTGTGTGACGCCGGGTCACTTTTTCGATACATAATCGATTGTTTGTTATACACGGGTACCCGGCCATCCGATGACAACAACAAAGGAGATATGAATTACCACGTATTCCACACCGCCATTTTGGATCGAAAATGTATCGAAAAAGCGACCCAAACTCGGCGCACACCGGGCTCGGAATTCGTCGAGCAGAACATGGCGCCAGCTCTCCCATTTACATTACGACTCTATGTACTCTATGGGTAAATCTAAAGTTTAAGTTAACCTAACCTAGGAACAATTAAAATTCAGCGATTTTAGGTTAATATAAATCGCTTTATCGACTATTTCACGAATTTTCTGGTAGCCGTGAATGTGACTGCTGGCCACTCGAAAAGCTTCCACTCAGGATGTAACAGTATATGTAAAAATAGACGAAAAGAAACATGTATAGTATAGAGGTTTTCCTCATCATTTTATTTATATATTTAATTTTTTTTTATTTTATAATATGCACAAAATGAGCTTCTGACGGAACTGCAGTGCACACCATGGTTTGATACATGATTACATGATTGCACGATTACACGGTTTGCCTGATTGCATGATTACATGGTACATGACTCATTAAATTATATCCGTTCGACTAAAATTAAACCAACCCCATTGTTTTCATTTTTTTTCTATTAGGCCCATAATATTCATCCAGATATTTTGAAGAGATCATTTTTGCGGTGGTGCTGACTGTTTCTCTGGGTGCTTAGACTTTATATGATCCCAGAGATTACCCATGCTTCCGTAACGGTGGCCAGTGGTACAATATGGGCAAATTGTCATGCCGGTGTGAACATACATGTGCTTAGTTAGACTTTCTATGTGTACGTATTTGTTGTCACATTTGTTGCACTCAAAACTTTTAGGCATTTCGATGATCTCTGAAAATAGATGCACAGGAAAAATAATTGACAACATCACGTATGAATTACATCAGTGGCGTGACGTTCTTTGCGATATATCGATCGATCTGCCATTTAAACCTGTGGAAAAGGATCGATTATAAGGGTGTTCGCGGCGAACACATTAATAATCGATTCTTTACCATAGCTCCAAACGGGGAAATATCGATATATATCGAAGCACGCCACGTCACTGAATTACATACATATAACAATAAACGGACCGCGTTTAGCAGAAAAGAACCAAGCCACATTAGCCATTGCCAGCTTTGACTGGGTAATTTAATTTCGTACAAGAGGACGTTTCAGCGGATTTTTTCAGTAAATTTTTAGAAATTTGCTTCGTGCTCTGCAGAAAATTCTCTGAAATGTGTACAAAAAATCCACACAACCGTATTCATGTAAAAAATTGCCCAATCAAATTTGGCACAAGCTGATGTGGCTTGGTTCCTCTCCTCTCATGCGGTCCAAATTACTATGAGGCTGGAGAGTCAGAGTATTCAATTCCGCGAAAAAATCGGGTTGTGGTGAAAATACCGGTTTTTAGGCTCAGCAAAAAAGAACGAACGTTATCAGACCAGGAAAATGAGTCAAATTTTATGGCCACAATGATCTCTACCATACTGCCATACTGAGGAAAAAAGCCGCATGAGCATCCAAATGTTGCCAAATTCTTTCTTGGAAAATGCTTATTTTTGAAGAAAGTAATGAATAATTTTCCTTGAAATTTTCAGACTTTTCCGATCAAATCACGAACAAAATGTTCTGAAAAATCCAAAAAGAAATGGTTGCAAATTTTCCGAGAAATTCGTAATTTGTCGAAGGAAATTTGGCAACGCCCGATGGCTTATACGGCGTTCTTCCTCAGCACGACAGCATGGACCATTAGAGGCATTCTACCTCGCCAGCTCGCTCCCGTGCAACGCAAAAACGCCGTAAGTGTCATTTTAAATTTTTGGGAAACAATGATTCATAGCAGAAAAACTTGTGTACCTTGAAAAGATTTTTTTTTACAGAATGGAGAATTTGCACGCAATTTTTTTATTGCTTCATCTGAAAGTGCCTAATGAGCTGAGTTCGCAGTATTTTTCATAATTTTTTTCTGACATGGGAAATTGGAGAAAAATTGATTTAAAAGTGAGAAAATGTGCCGCCTTGTGACGTCATCTGGCGGCATTTCCCATTTAAACACATGTATTTTAGCAGAATCGGTTATTTTGTCATATCTCCTCTAATAATTGCTCAATTTATGAATCAAGGGTATCTTCGTGTTCAGTTCACTCAGAGGATTCCACTTAAACAGGAAATTCATCAAATTTCAGACCCTTGCAAATTCTCCATTCTCCCGCAAAAACTAGTTGCCTCTTAGAGACATGAAAGGTCGCATAAAGCTAATGTGATAAAATAGCCCCCGAGGAATCATGAGAATGGGTTATTATTTTGAAGTTCAAGCACTGCAGAATTTAACTCCAATAATGCTTAAAATTGCGTTTAAAAAGTGTGAAATTTTCAACATTTTCCGGAGGAAGGGCCCCCGAACGACAGGAGAGGCCCCCACATTTAGATCGCCTCCTAAATTTTCGACTACCAGTCCGCCCCTGTCAAGAGCTTAACCTGAAAATTTAAGGTGCATGGGTAAAATATTTTTCATTTTATAAAGTGTTAGATTCCAAAAAACGCGCGGGAAAATCTTGATAGATTTACGGCGTTCTTGCTTAGCACTGCAGAAATGTCCACAAAGCAACCGGTCCATCCTCTTCCTCCTTCCATAACCCGTGCTCCCCTGAGAGTCCGCGAAAATGAAAGAAACGATCAAAATGTTTAAAAATATAAAATATCTACATCGTGGCTACTCAGTTAAAAATAATTAAAATACGATTTTAATGAAGATATTATAACGCAGATTCCATACCACATTGAAGGTAGGTGGAGATAATTCACTCGTAGGTCGGATCAAATATGAATCCAACTTAGATTCGAACAGAGTGATATAGAGTCAATTAAAGTAATTTCAGGGTCAATTGGATTGCATTTTGCAACAAGGAACCAGGAGCATTGCAATGTTGCTAAGATTGTGCAACTTCACCCATTGAATATAACGATTTATATCCTGAAATAATGCTAAATTTACGTGGTAATTTTTGTCCTATATTTACAGTTTTTAGCGAGTTGAATAGAAACGGTTTAGAGATGATTAGGTATTCCTTCCAAGACAAAAAAAGCTGCACAATCTTAGCAATATTGTAATGCTCCTGGTTCCTTTTTGCAAAATGCAATCCAATCAGAGTCAAGTGAATCAAAATATACCCAAATTATAAGCAAGAGTAAAGGTGAACACGCTTTTTCATTCAAAATGGGAGAGGACGTTATTGTTTTCAACAGTTATTACGCTGCCATGACGCAGCTATTATTCAATTTTTAAGTCGATCATTAGATGAAAAATAATTTGATTAAATGGGCCTGTTGCATGCAAGAGATACAGCCGTGCGAATAGACTTTTTACACGTTAAATGACACGAAAATTACGATGGTCACATTAAAAAAGTCTGAAATACACTCCTTACTGCGCAATTTGCGTTGTTAGGAACGCGCTTTTCCAAATTTCCCGCGTCTGGGGGCAGTTTTCTGACGGCAACTCGCGGCTATTTCCGGTCAACTAAAACTGACAACATAACCTAAAAATCTGAGCTCGTGATATCGTGAAATGAAATGTAGAAGGATTGCGTTGGATATTTAAAAGTTGATC